GGGGACAATATGCAAGGGGGAGCCAGGGCCGCCAAAATCATACATATGGTTTACACAAAACCCACAAGCAGATCCAGACACGAGAGTGCTGATTGCTGAATGGGGTGTACACAGTGTGTGGGCGCTACACACTAACAATTTGAGGAGGGTGGAGCCTGAGGTGGATCAAGCGGGGTTACTCACGAAACTCAGACAAATGAGCAATTGACGGTGCCAACCTGCCACTCAGCTCGCGGTGGCAACTTGGAATGTCAACATGAGGAATATCGAGCTTTTGCCAGCAATGCTGGAGTTTTGTCATTATGATGTGTTATGCTTGCAGGAGTGCCAGTATATGTCATCGGAAGCATTTGAAGCATGTGGGTGGCAGGTGCGTTTCAGTGTGTGCCGACGGGCTGCTGTGGCCTTCAGGGGCCCATGGGCGGCGACTATCTCTGACAGTAAATGTGGAGAGAGGTTTGCAGTTGTACAATTTGCATCTGTGGTCGTGTCCTCAGTGTACCTACCCACAGTGCAGCGGGGAGATGATAGGCTCGATGCATATTGTGACGTTCTAGCTAAGCTGTGTGCATGCATGCAACTATGTAGCGAGCAATACCAGGGGTCAAAAGTATTGCAGTTCGTGGGGACAGATGCGCAGACGGAGATGGAACCAAATCTCCTGGGGTTCACGGGAGAGGGATTGGAGGAGGTGTGGATGAGGTCGGAGGCGAAGCACCATGAGGAGAGGAGGGACATGCTCGTGCGCTTTCTGAATCACTGGGGTCTTTGTGCAGCCAACACCTGCGGCGTGCGGCAAGTGACGCACAGGCCGTGGAGTACCAGCAGCTACTCCAGGGTGTTGGACTATGTATTTGTGCCGACACAATTTGCAGGTACTGAGATGGCTCGGACCAACTGCTCATTTGAATGCATGGTGGAGTTTGTTGATCCTACACAGGATCGAGCGTCGCGTTACAGTGATCATGCGAAGGTAGGGGTGAGGATAAAACATGCGTCTGTGCGCAAGCCTTTCGTGCGACCCAGGCCCCCGAGCCTCGTCAATTGGGCCCCGGAGGATTATGAGTCAGCGAATGTGTTCAGTACACTGGCCGACGTGCAGGTGCAGCAACATATGAACCAACAGGGTGACATAACTATGCAGACAGTGGGAGAGATGCTTGTGAGTGCTGCGACGATGTGTAGGCATACAAAGGGCAGGGCGGATACTAAACCAATCAAAAAACCTGACCAACTGGTGGACGTTGAAGCGGAGTTAAGGAGGGGTGTCTTCGGTGAGCGTAGGAAACAATTATTGCGACGTCAAAAAACACTTCGAAGAAGGTTCAGGCGGGAACAGCTCCTCAAGGACTCCAATGGCCCCAAACATGGACCCCGTAGGTGTATCAAGGAAATGGTGTGTGACGGGATACTGACAGAAAATAATCAAAGATGGGTGGAGGAGCTCAACAAACACGTCCAACGGTCATATACATGTGATGGGGAGGGAGGAGCTGCAAAGAGAGAGTTGCACCGACTACGGAAACAGTGGGAGGCAGAGGGCAGAACTACGAACAGGGTCATATCTATGGGTGTGTTGCTGGGGGCTCGAGCCCGATTGAAGGGCGGGACCGCAGCGGGCTCTGATGGCCTGGTGGCGGAGATTCTCAAAGCAATACCTTGGAATGCATTGAGATTGATACGACACTCATTTCAAGAAATTCATGATCAGAAAAAGCCGTCACCAGATTCGTGGAGAAAGTTGTGCGTGCAGTTGATTCCAAAAATGAGCATGATCCAAAGATTTGGGGAGACTCGTGCAATATCGCTGTTAAGTGTTATGAGCAAGTGGTACATGGCGTGCCTTCTTATTCTTGTGGAGGAACATGGACATATAAAAAACTGGCGACATATGGATTCCAGAAGAGTCACAAAGTTCATCACATGACGGCCCCTTTATTGCATATGACACGTCATGCCACTCTCTGGGGAAAAGGCGAGTCTGTACATGGGGATAATGGATTCAAAGAAAGCGTTTGATCATGGGACGGTCTCGATGGTGATCCGCGCGATGGAACATTTCAGATATCCAGCAGATTTGATTATTGCAATTGTGGAGCCTATGATTGGAAACGCAGCAGTTTTTGATTTCCAGGATGTGTGCAGTGAAGAGATCTTGTATAACAAGTCGGTGCGAACTGGAGGGGAAGAAGGTCCAGTACTCTTCAATATTGTGTTGGAGGCAATTTGGGCTTCTATTGCTGAAACATGGGAAGCATGTAATTCTGGAGTACGATTGGAAGGCGAGGGGGCACAACAGGCGCTCGTCAACCATTACATTTGGGCAGATAACGTGGTGCTGTTGGCAGCCTCGGCGAATCAGCTGAGGAATATGGTGAGTATGTTGACCGTTGCCCTCAGACGGGCTGGTATGGATTGGAAAATTGAGAGTCTGGAGTATTTGGGTTTTGGGCTGAGACAGAACCAGGGGCCACAATCATTAGTATGTGAACTGGGAGATGATATTTGTACGCGGGCTGGAGACCCCAGCCTACCCTATCAATTACGTGAGGCGGTGGTTTTGCCGAGAAAAAGTGAGTGTGACATACTGGGGGTTAAATTTGTGACGAACCCGAGGGATTTCCATGCAGTGCGGCACCGTATTGATGCAGGCAGGCGGTGTTTCTCTGCTGATATTCAATTATATCGATCACGGGCGGTGAGCATGAGGGAAAAATCAGACGGTACCAGAGCAGAGTTCAACATATTATATGCCATGGATGTGGGGTGGAGCTGTAATGAACATGTGCTTAACATATTGAGAAGCTTTGAAGGAAGATGTCTGAACACAATGCGAGGATTACGTAGAAAAAGAGACGGAAACGTGGGAGGAGTTCAGGGATCGCAGTACCAATAGATCCAGGGAGATGTTCAAAGAGGGGGGTTTCAAAACGTTGGTGGAGAAAGCCGTGAGATATAACTTTGAATTTGCCGTGGAGGTATCCCAATATAAGTGCCACATGCCGTCCACTGTGTATAGCAAATCGTGGCAGCAGACGCTGCGCTCCATGTTGCACGTATCGGGGGAGTGGACGGTACAGAGGGATGAAATGCTGGCGGCAGTAAGTCGGACGATGTCGAGGGAGGGAACGAGACGGCTCAGAGGCAGACCACGAATCGTGGCGAGCAGCTGGCATGCACCCTTTGAAAAATGGAGGTCTCTTCTATGGCACGACACGTGCGTTGTACCGACGGATTGGGAGGAGTTTGTGGAACACATATCACAGATACCCAAAGTGCAGGATATGTTTGTGAGGAGGAGTAAGGAGAGGAGGATGGGAGGGTTTGCGAAGACACCGACAGATGACGAGTTGGCCCGACGTCTTGCAGTTATAAATGAACAAACTACGATATGGGATCCTGGGATGGAAGGGATTGCTGTTGAAATGTGCGGTGACAGTAGGACGGTCGTACAATGGCTGAGGGGAGTCTGGGCCTGTGACAACAGTGGGTATGCCAAACGGATTGCCAGGATACAAAATACCATGTATGACGTGAGTGAACAACACAACATACGATGCCCGACGTACGGAAGGGATTTCTGGAAACATATCTATAGGGAAGCCAATGCCTATGCTGATGAGCTTACACACCATGCGAGAGAAGGAAACTGTTACATAATTTACAAGCACGACTATATCAAACAGAACAGGACAAGCATCAAATACATCAGAGGATGCTGGGATGGTGGAGTGAGCAGTGAGGGTGCCGCAGGAGGTCACTGGATTGAAGTTGCTCCAGAGAATGGCACGTGGACGCTCGTGAGCTCAGAAGCCTACATGTTGGATGTAGGAGCCACCGTGACGGAGGCAGAATTATCTGCTGCCGAGCGCCTGTGCACAGGTGTGGAGCACATCGTTAAAGAAATTTCCTCTGCAAAGCGGAGGAGGCGGATTTAACTGGCTCTAGCCCTTAGGCTTGGGCGCACGCGCCCTGTGTAGCCTGACCAAACACCAAAACTCGGGCTGCAGGGGGGCTGCAGGGCTGGTAATCACAGGAATCGATTTGGAGACATCGGACGCGTCTGCCTGTCGCATTCAGAGGCCTGAACTTGGTCTGATACTCGAGCTAGCTTTGCCAAACTATTCGTATTGTTCCAGTCATCTTTAGGGTTGCTGTCGATTTTCGCACGTAACTCGGGCTGTAGGAGAGCTACAGAGCTCGTACAGAAGACAATCCAGAAGCATCGGGAGCGTTCGGCTGTTGCATCGAGAGGTCTGAAATCGCTTGGGCTGAAAAACTATTCGTTCTCTGTAATTTTTTCTACATTTTATATTGTCAGGAAGCTCTACGAGTCCCCCGGCGGTAAGGAAGGTTGACGGTTTACCGCCGGCGCCCATTATTTGTATTGTTCGAGTCATCTTGAGAGATGCTTTCGGTTCTCTGTACTTAACTCAGGCTGTAGGGGGACTATAGGGCTGATAATTCCAGGAATCGATTCGGAGACATCAACCGCGTCCGTCTGTCGAACCCAGAGCTCGGAACTCGGTATGCTACCCGAACTGGGTCCGCGAAACTATTCGTTTCGTTCGAGTCATCCTGAGAGGTGCTGTCGGTTTTCTGCACTTACCTCGGGCTGCAGGGTGGCTGCAGGGCTGGTCATCACAGGAATCGATTCAGAGACATCAGACGCTGTCCACTATTGCAATCAGAGGTCTGAACTCGGTCTGATACTCGAGCTAGGTTTGCCGAACTATTCGTATTGCTGGAGTCATCTTGAGAGGTGCTGTCGATTTATTCTCGGAACTCGGGATGTAGGAGAGCTACAGAGCTTGTATAGAAGACAATCCAACATCAGGCTGTTGCATCGAAAGGTCTGAAATTGCTTGGGCTGAAAAACTGTTCGTTCTCTGCAATTTTTCTTTCGACATTATATATTGTCAGGAAGCTCTACGAGTCCCCCGGCGGTAAGAAAGGTTGAGGCGGCGGAGGAGGAGCTGGCGGCGGAGGAGGAGCTGGAGGCGGCGGAGGAGGAGCTGGAGGCGCCCTCGAGTGCGGAGTCTTCTCCGAACGTGCAGTCTGATTCTGATAGCCGCGCCTTGTCAGGAGCGTCCCAGGGGTGTCTGAATCGTCCCGTCACGCTCAATGAGGTATCGAAGGAGTCGCGCCAGAGGACTCGAGGGAGAGATCGTGACAAGGTCAAGGGGACATCGACGTGCTCTCAGGCCACCATTGCCGATGTCAAAGCGTGGATTGACGTTGTTGCCCGCATCAACGAGTTGAATGCGATCCAGTATTTAAAGAACGGAATGGATATGTTTGATAAGCTGGTGACAGAACGTGGGTTCCCTACAAAGAAGGCCCAAACAAATTATGCTCGGAAACTGTATGAGATGCTCCAGAATGTGCAAGCGACGCTGGAGGATCTTCTAGGATTCTTCGAGGTGCACAGGTTCTTGACAGGACAAATGAACCGCGCCGAGATGGCCAAGTTTCTTGAGGTTTCCAAGTGCAGCGACTACCGAATAATATTCTTCGGACGCCCGAGGAGTTTCGACAAGTTGGGATGAAGCTATTCGTGCGCACTTGTATGCAACTTTCGGTTTAGAACAGCGAAGGCTGTAATGCTTGTATCTCATCTGTTCTTGTTTTCCTCACTTTATTTCTCTGTTTGACCTCTCGCTGGAGCCATGATGGCTCTACGGCCCGCTGTGGGCCCCACTAAGCGCTTCAGGTGTGTAAAGGGCAGGAGCCCCTCATATTCTTCAGGTGACGTTCTTCCACGGGTTGTTTCCCCGTCTAATTCGTTGATTACTTCGTGTGACGTTGAGCATGCGCCTCTTGTCATACGGCGGGTTGAACATGCGTATTTCGGACTGGTTTGATGTGAATAAGAGTTTGTGCTCACTCACGCCTTGCCTGTTTGGATACGTCCGCTCCTTGCTCCGACTAGGCTGGAAAGCCTGCACAGTCGACCGCAAAGTCCGCAAAAAAGAAAGGTTGACTGTTTACCGCCGGCGCCCAGTTTGGTCGTACGACAGTGTCCTCACCATGGCCTTCTCCGGCGTGACAGCGGCGAACCTCGGGAGCGGAGCGAGCGCGATCGACAGCACTTTCCACACGAACCGCGATTTCGCGAGTGACGACTTGGCTGGAGACAAGTTAGATGATCTCCTCGACCTGCTCGACCACATGAAACTGTTGCTTGTGGACGAGGTGTCCACGTGCGGGGCTGTCTCTTTCGAGATCGTCAGCAGGCGTATGCAGCTGGTGCCGCGCGCGCTGTGGCGCAGACGATTTCGCTGCCCACCGCAGGAAGACATGGGCCCGTTCGGCAGCATCGGCGTCGTTCTCATGGGTGACTTCGCACAACTGCCGCCAGTGCTGGCCACTAGCTTGCTCCCGGGCATGCCTCGCGTGGGCGCGGGCGGCCCGACTGTTCGAGCCATGGCGCTGGCCGGCCAGAAGACTTTCGCCGAATTTGAGGACCTCTTACGTTTGCGTCGTATGCACCGCCAGGAGGGTGCCGATGCATTCAAAGAGTCGACTATGAGACTCAGAGATGCGGCGATCACAACGGAGGATTACGCTCTGTGGAAGACCCGCGAGTTGGACACGATGAATGGCTCGGACCTTCAGTCTGCCAACACGTGCGCGTGGCAGGGCGGTGAGTCTCTCGTCCGCGAGGGGTTGGTTCTCGTGCCGGAGAACCAAGCTGTCGGGAAGATCAACGGTAAGCAATTGGCAGCCAGGGCACCCCGTCACGGCGCGCCGGGCATTGCCAGAGGACAGAGGCACGACACAACGACCCGCGCGGATTACATAAGAGTGCCGATGACTTCCGGCAACTCCGCAGGGCACTCCACCTGTGCGTGGGGGGCGCGGGTGATGTCAACGCAAAATTCTTTGTGGAACGTCCCCACTGTGCCCCTCGGGCTCATGAATGGGGATTGGGGGGGTGGTCGTCGCCATCGCGTGCGCCTCCCCAGGGGAGCAGCGAACTGACCAGAGGACACTCGCTGGGGTCGGCCATCCCAGCTCCACTCTGGGAGCGTTCCCCCGGGGGCCCTAAGCCCACGGACGAAGTGGGAGTCTATGGCCGTTCACAAGCTCCCACCCTTGACGGACTTTCTGTCCGCGCGCCTGACAAAGGACTTCTTCGTCAGGGCGGAGTTCGAGAGCAAGGCAGGCGCCTTGTTTGCCAGACTGCTCGAGCGGAGAGGCACTTCTCCTTAAGCGTTAATGGCTGAGCACAAGCAGCACTTCCGGACCACCGCGCTCGCAAAGGAAGGGCGCGAACTTAATGGTGCTGAGCTGGCAGATATGCGGGCAATGCTGTCCGCAGTGGGCGTCGCGCCTATCAGTGACAGCGTCTCCCGGTACTGCGAGGAGCAATTGGGCCGCAAGGCCACCGGCCTGTGGAGTATCGTAGCCTCGTTCCGCGCACAGAAACCGAAGAAGAAGCCGGGCCAGGCTTTGCCAGTCCGCGGGAAGAGCGGCTCTGGCGGGAAGACCTCGTCGACACAGACGGGTGCTCAGGGGCCCGCGGCTTCGGAGGCGGATGCCGCGGCTGAGACCTCTGCGGCGGCGACGATGATCGACATGGGCTTCAACGAGGTTGACGTCGCCCGTGCGTTGGAGCAGACGTCGTTCCAGTTCCGGCAAGCGCTGGTGCTTCTGGCAAGGGCTGTCCAACTCTGCTGCAGCTTCACGAAATTACACAAGACGAACAGCGTTTGCAAAGATAACTTAAAGGATACGAAGAGTTTTGCGGACCTGGCTCGGGTCGCAGACCGGGCTCAGACCGTTCGATGCAACAGACGAACGCGCCCAATGATACAGATCAGCTCTGTGGAGATTCTGAATCGTGAGTTCAGTACAGAAAACCAACAGCACTCTACAAAATGACTCGAAGAATACGAATAGGCGAACCGAGCTCGAGCAGCAGACCGAGTTCAGAGATCTAGACGGAACAGACGAACGCGCCTCATGATTCTTAATCGGTTTCTCTAAGTATCAGCTCTGTAGCTGTCCTAAATCTCGAGATCTGTACAGAAAATCATCGATGCGTAGATGACTCGAAGCGGCCGTCGGTTCCAGCAAGTGTAAGAATAGTAATATTGCAGCTACGGACCTGAGATTTCGACTCGTGCCGCGGCATAACCCCTTACACGTGAGAAAAATACCGGCTCTCAAAACGAATTTTTCAAATTTTGCACAAAGATTGAAAAACCGACCCAAAGTTAACGCATTGTCTCTTAATTAATGTCGGCTCGGCCAACTGGGAGCCGGCGGTAAACCGTCAACCAGGTTACCACCGGGAGCCTCGTAGAGCTCTTTTCTCGTGCGGGCCTGCCCGGTACACATGAAGGAAGTTTTCTTTAAACATTTCTGTGCGAAGAACTCTGGCGCTCATCTGCAGCTCGAGTTAAGTGGAAAAATCACAATCAGTTCGAACAAAAAAGATCATATAATAATATTTTTGCGGACCTAGCAGCAGACGTTCTTCAGGGCTCTAGATGCTCCAGCAAAACGCACCTGATGATTCAGGATTGGTTTCTGTGCGTACCAGCTCTGCAATTCTGCCACAACTTCAGTTAAGTACAGGAGACTGACATCGCTTGCAAAGAAAGCTTGGCTCGAGCAGCAGACCGAGTTCAGACATCTAAATGAGACAGACGAACGCGCCTGATAATGATGAATTAATTGGTTTCTGTAAGTATCAGCTCTGTAGCTGACCCAAATCTCCAGATAAATACGGAAAACCGTCAACGCGTGTCAAGATGACTCTAAACGGCCGTCGGTTCCAGCAGGTGTTTTGATAGTAATATTGCAGATGCGGACCTGAGAATTTAACTGCGGCAGAACCCACTGCACGTGAGAAAAATCCCGGTTCTCAAAATGAATGGTCAAATTCTGCGCAAAGATTCAAAAACCGACCCCAAGTCGTCACATTGTCTCTTAAGGTCGGGTCGGCCAACTAGCTCTACTCTGCGCCCGAATTCCTCTTGGCTCATCTCGCCGGAGAGCTCTACGAGGTACTGGCTCCACCCTGCGCCCGAATTCCTCTTAGCTCATCTTGCCGAAGAGCTCTACGAGGTATTCCTCCCGCGCCGGAATTCCTCTAGCTCGTCGACTGGGAACCGGCGGTAAACCGTCAACCAGGTTACCGCCGGGGCCCTCGTGGAGCTCTTTTCCCACGCGGCGCTCCTCGGTAAGCAAGAAGAAAGCGTCTAGAGCAAGACCTGAGAAACTCGAAAAATCACGTTTTTCTGTTTTTATTCAACGTCGGGTCTCCCAAGTGTTTTGATAGTAATACTGCAGCTACGGACCAGAAAATTTTACTGGCAGACGCGCCTTAACCCATTGAAGGTGGGAAAAATCTGCTTTCTCGAAATAAATGGTCAAATATCTTTCATTTTTTCACAAAACCCACCAAGAGTTGCCACATTGTCCGTTCTGGTCGGGTCGACCAACTAGCTCCGCCCCGCGCCGGAATTCCTCTAGCTCATCGATAACGAAGAGCTCTACGAGGTATTCCGACGAGCTTTACAAGGTATGCAGAGATCTGAACTGGCGTCGGAGAGCTCTACGAGGTACTCGCTCTGCTCCTCGAGCTAGATCCGCAAAACTATTCCTTTCGCTCGAGTCATTTCGACAGAGACTGTTGGATTTCTGTACTTTACTCGAGCTCTAGGGTAGCTATAGAGCTGATGCGGACAAAAACCGATGCAAACTGATCAGGCGCGTTCGTCAGCTGCATCCAGTAACTTTGGGTCGTTTTTTTTTTTTTTTTTTTTTTTTTTTTTTTTTTTTTTTTTTTTTTTTTTTTTTTTTTTTTTTTCTTCTTCTTCTTCTTCTTCCTTCTTCTTCTTCTCCCCTCCTCTTCTTTTTTCTTCTTCTTTATATATATACATATACATATATAAAAATTTGGGCGAAATTTGAAAACTCGTTTTGAGAACTGGTATTTCTCTCACGTGTAGTGGGTCATGCCGCGCCAGCCAGTTGTTTTCTCAGGTCCGTAGCTGGTATATTACTATCAAAACACTTGCTGGAACCGACGGCCGTTTCGAGTCATCTTGACACATCGACGTACTTGTCTCGAGATTTAGGACAGCTACAGAGCTGATACTTACAGAAACCGATTGGAAATCATGACGTGCGTACCGATCCACAATCATCAGGGGCGTTCGGCTGAAGCATCCAGAGCTCTGATTGTATGGGGCTTTTTTTTGGAACTGATGGTGATTTTTTCGACTTAACTCGAGCTGCAGATGAGCTTGAGCGCTCTTTCGCACAGAAATCTTGAAGAAAACTCCCTTAATGTGCACCGGGCAGCGAGAAAAGAGCACTACGAAGCTCCCGGTGGTAACCTGGTTGACGATTCGCTCCCAGTATTATTCGAGTCATCCTGAGAGGTGCTGTCGGTTTCCGCACGTAACTCGGGCTGTAGGAGAGCTACAGAGCTAGTGCGCACAGAAGCCGATCCAAAAGCATCAGGAGCGTTTGTCTGTTGCATCGAGAGGTCTGAACTTGGTCTGCTATCCGAGCTAGATTCACAAAATTATCCGTATTCGACTGATTTTTTTCCAAATGATGGTGAATTTCTTCACTGAACTCGAGCGGCCCAAAGCTCAGGAGGGAATCGTGGGGCGTGAAGAACCTAGACGCTTGGTTTGAGTTTGTTGTGAACGCAGACGCCAAACACGGATTCGTACTCTGCTACTTCCTTCCAGCACAGCAATGGGACTTCACTAGACGTCTGAAATCAATATGCTATCAGCTCGGGCTTAAAAACTGTTCGTTCTCTGTTATTACCTCGTAGAGCTCTTCGTCATCGATGAGCTAGAGGAATTCCGGCGCGGGGTGGAGCTAGTTGGCCGATCCGACCTTAAGAGACAATGTGGTGACTTTGGGTCGGTTTTGCTAGTATTTCAAAGATATTTGACAATTCATTTTAAGAGCCGGTATTCTTCTCACGTGTAGTGGGTTGAGCCGCGTT